TATATACACATACTAAAATATAGCATTCCTACTTCACGTCTTTTCACTTATTCCGGGTGGGGGGTAGTCTGGAATGTAACCCCCACGATAAACAAGGGACTACAGTACTTGCTTTTGTTAATGAGTTTTACATTTTAGAACAGTGGTTCTCAAAGCTCGATTTGGGAACCCATGTATGATGATGAATCGGTCTCAAAAGTACTTAGCGTACAATAAGATCCACAAGCATACCGCAGGCTTTAGAAAAACTGTTTACGCATTTGTAATGTACAAATACCATCCATCCATTATCTTTTACCCGCTTTTTCCTTTCCGGGTCATGGGGTCACTGGTGCCCATGCCTAGCCATCACACTTTGCAAGAGGCGGGGTACCAGAAAAATATACTTATTGGTATTTTTAACAGAGGAAAATACTGGAATATACTGTATATTTAAGTGCATCTGAGTATGTGTTTTAATATAGAATCAGAGGTTATAGGGTTAGGGGTTATGAGTTATTGTGCCCAGTTAGAAACAAGTCTTTTCCCAATATCTCAGTAAATCTGGAATAGCTCATATGTCCCAGCTTTTCACCAGCCTCGAATGCAGCGTTACCTTTGTGAATCTGGGGCGGCAAGAAAATCTCAATAGTCACATTCTCAGACAAGCTGATCCAGTTGACTGATTCGTCCACAGTTGGTGATTTGTGCACGTGTATTTGACAATTTGCATGCACAGAGTATTCCTACTTGTGCAAACTGAAACATGTACATTTGAAGAACTGTTTATTCGTGAATCTTGTTGTACGCACTTGTAAAAGTTGAGGTACACTTGTGGATCTTATTGTACGCATACAAATCTCGTAGTACGCTTGTGTGACTACTTCTGAGACCGATTTATCTTCATACCCAATGCGGGTCGTGCAACTTTTGAGGACAGAACTGGAATTACTACCAAAAAAATGGTTCCGTTAACTACATTTATGAATGAATACAATTATATAGAGGCTGCTAAGGTTTTGTTTCATGGCTTATAATTTATCGTTCATGGTGGCAGGTGATCATGTATTAGTTTGTGTGCGTTAGCAAAATATCTTGTGAACCACTGAACAGATTTGAATGAAATAGCTGGATGTTCGTCTTCAACTGATTAACTTCTGGAGTTGACCCAATTTAAGATGGCCGCCACTAGGCCTGTCGTGATAAACAATAAATCAATTAATCGCATGATGAATGAAAACTATCGAACTTACTTTCATTTACCGGCTTTATCGTTTCTTCGTGTCTCTCTTTCTACTGAAGACAAGGCTCAACTCCCATTCTCTTTTCTCTTTAAAATCCGTTTTAACTGTCCAAAATCACATTTTTGGATCATTAAAACCAGCTAAGCTACGAGCTAAGCTAACAGTCCGACCTCGGGAATAAACCTCCGTCTTGTCCAAGCTCCAAAATTCATGGTTGAAACCAGTGCCTTCGTGTAAAATGTTGTTTTTCTCTGAAAAAAGAAGCTGAGAACTTGTTTACTGATTTTTTTTATTAAAAACTTTGTGTGAAAAATGCTATGCTAAAGAGCTCAAACCACGAGCATCCGCCATGTCACCATGTCAGCCCATGTCACGTCAAGGGCCCTCCCTCCCATTTTTCTTAAAGAGACACTGCTCAACTATCCATCCTTTGGTTCAAACAGTCTTATACTGCCATCAGGTGGTCAAAAAAGGTACTACAGTCAAGCAAATCAACATTTCTTCTAAAATTTGACAATTAATTATTGTTAAATTTCAAACAATATTATCGTTTATCGCAATAATTTCCAAGACAATTAATCGCCCAGCAAAATTTGTTATCGTGGCAGACCTAGCTGCAACAGCTGATGGACCTCAGAAAACACAAAGGTGGCTGCTTATAGATATCCAGACAGATTTGGTGTGGTAGTCGCAGAGAGTCATCCTCAACACATACCGAGCACAAAAATGTAAGGCAATGCGCATCACTTAAAGGACGGCAAATTTAAACTATATTATCGATTTCTCATTTTTAAAACGTCATTGAACCTTTTCTTATTTTGTTCAACATGAGCATTTGAACACAGACAACAAGATTTTAAACAAAAGAAAACAAAAAAAGACTAATTCACACTCCAAACACAAAGACTTGGTTACATTTTAAACCTTTCAATACAAGATTCACACGACACGTCAGTCATGCAGAACACGTTTCACATGCATGCGTTTATTTCCAACAACATGACCTGAGGTCTGCAGCTTTCTCTCCTCTGACATTACTGCTGCAGGAGTTAAAAAAAGAAAAAGAAAACCTGCCTTGTATGGAGAGCCATTTCATTCAAATTTAAATAAATACATAAAAAGTATTATTTAAAAATTATTAATTAATAAATGCTCCCATGAAATAAAACATTTAAATAGAAATGTTCAGCTTTCCCCCCCCCAAGAATTATTTCTATTTATTTCAAGATTTATTTATTAATGGAGTTTCATTTTGTGACACTTTTATTTTGTGAAGCTACTTTATATATTTCAGGGGCTTTTATTCTTTAACCCCGTTTTTCATTTTAAGTTCTTTTTATTTCATCTTATATTCAAACAAGGGGGCGGGGTTTTCTCTGTGGGGCGGGTCTGGTCAGGATTAGCAGATTGCATCTGCTTTGCTGAAACTGATGTACTCCAATCTTTTTTTTGACCAGTCACAGCAAAGTATTCCCCTCGCTGAGCTCTGTTTGATCCAACTACCTTCAAATCATGAATTAACTGTGTTCAGGAAGTCAGGAGGACAAGCGGGCAATATGGAGGACATCGGAGAACTCCGAGATGAAACGCAAAGGTTTGCTGATGGAACTGAGCAAAATGAATTAACACCCGATACCATTTTGGCCGGTATTGAAAATTTTCTCGAAACGCTCGGGCAAATAAGTGCTCTTCAAGATTTAGACATCGATTACGAATTTCTGAACTGCTTCTGAGAAATCGAGTACCGTGTACTCGTTAAAGACGTCAAAACTGGGAGCAGGACACCCACCTCTGGATGTTACTGTTGATATGCTCACTACCTTTACTGTGGCTGCTCTGTCAACCTGAGAAATCACAGATCGGTTTGGTGCGTCATCCAGCACAGAGAAAACCCCGCCCCCTTATTTGAATATAAGATGATGAAAAAAAAAAAATTATACACTTAAAATGGAAAAATGGAGTTAAAAAAAAGCCCCTGAAATATGTAAAGTAGCTTTACAAAATAAGTGTCACGAAATGAAACTTCGTTATTAAATAAATAAATAAATAAATCTAGATATAGCAACAATGTTCATGCTCAATCATCCAGGTACCAAATCCAATAATTCTCAGTCAGGTCATCTGGACAGTTTGTTTTTTATAGAGACGTTTCGCCCTCTATCCGGAGGGCTTCTTCAGTCAGAGGAGTTCCAGTAAACTATTTCTCCACCAAGCAGTAAACTCCTTAAGTGGACCAACCAGTTTGCTGGAGCTAAGATGGTTTCTAAAAAAAGAAACTGTCCAGATGACCCGACTGAGAATTATTGGATTTGGTACCTGGATGATTGAGCATGAACTTTGTTGCCTTGAACCACTTTGGCTGTGGCTGCCTGCCTGGGAGGAGTCTACGAGGGACAGGACAGCCCCTAGAAACCATCTTAGCTCTGGCAAACAGGTTGGTCCACTTAAGGAGTTTACAGCTTGGTGGGGGAAACAGTTTACTGGAACTCCTCTAACTGATGAAGTCCTCTGGATAGAGGCAGAAACGTCTCTATAAAAACGAAACTGTCCAGATGACCCGACAGAATTATTGGAAATCTTGATATAAATAAAAATAAACGGAGGAAAAAAACTAAACATTTCTACTTAAATGTTTTATTTCATGGGGACATTTATTTATTTAATGGGATATTTATTAACATTTCTTAACACTTTATTTATTTAATTTTGAATGAAATGGCTCTCCATAGACTTCTACCCGAGAGTTTTTTAATTTTTTTTTTTTTTTTTAATTTTTTTTATAAAGGCAATGACTGGAGGGAGTTTTGGTCCGAGAACAATCAGAACATCAGGGGGACTGAAATGTGCAGGACGCCAACAGGATAGATTACAGACAGGAAGTGACGAGACCAACAGGAAGGAGACTGCTTTAAAGAAATTAATCAGAACTGTTGGGATTTTTATGAACAATCCAAGGTTTTCAACAGGACATAAAAACTTTACGAATACTGGTCGGCTGTAAGGTGGATCAAGTGTTTGTGGCCAGTTTATCTTACCATGCAGTCTCCAGGCAGAGGTCAAAGGTCAGAAGTCAGGGCTGAGTATCACTGGAAACATTATGGCAGCAATGGACCATGAAGTTATTCAGCAAGTTTAAAGACCACAACCCTCAGCTTTTTAATGTTCATTTTAGCTAAAGCTCAGTATGTTGCTCGTTTATAATCTTTTATTAAAATATAACCCTTACATTTTGTATTTGCTTGCCGAGTTGCGGTGAAGGAAAGCATCTACAAATTTTGATGCACATGTTTTTAGAAACAGTTGATTCTTAAAGTGCAGGGGAAAAAGAAGCAAACACCTGAAAAGTTTTTAGTAAGAGAAGCGATAAACTTTGATCAAACACTGAACGTGTCAGCGTCCGTTTTAAGGTGGCCTTTAATGATTTCTAATAATTACTATTAACTCAGGAGATTAATTTCTTCTTATACAACTGTCATAAAATATATGTTTAATTTGCCTTTCAAAGGCTGGGAAATTAGCAAATGAACTTAAAGTGTTATTTAGGTTGAACAACGTTTGGTGAGTTCAAAGACAGTTTCAGTCAGAATGTTTAACAACGTTATGAAAATTTGCCCGTCTGGGATGATGATGATGATGATGATGATGACGATGATGATGATGTGTGTTTGAGGGAGGACCATAGTCAAAAACAACAAGGACATTTTGTTTGATACAGTAGTCCCTCAATACCGGTACTTCACCGTTTGTTTTTCGCGGACTCGCTCTGTCGCGGTTTTTCAAAGTAAGATTGTACATGACACATAACTGGCTGATTGATGGATGAGCTGCACGATCGGCATGGAAATTTTATTTAAAATACATTATTTTAAATTATTTAGCACTTAACGCACCTTTGTGCAGCCCATACTGCAGGATATCCTTCCTCCTGCAGCTGATCAATCAGCTGATCTCCGTGTGGAGAAGTGGGCGTGGCCAAGAGCATTCTTCACCACTTGCTCTTGCCGAGGTCAGAGGCTTTTGTCCTCCCCTCCCTCTCCGCTTTGCTTTGCTGCTCTGTCTGTGTCTGTGAAACTGCTCTGAGCCTCTCTTGCATATCTTCCAAACCATAATTATGGACTTGTTTTGATCATTTGGTCCCTCAACACAATTTACAACATTTCTTCGAAGAAAAGACAGGCTTTAGGCGAGCCGATTTGCCCTGTTGGCACGCATGCAGCTGGATATCTCATCGACTTGAAGATGTGTCCAAGTGTGCAGCCATTTGTGGATTTTAAGGATGCATATTTAATTGGATTTACGATAACTGATTCCTGCTTTTTGGATTTGGCTGGTTGCTGGCTTTATCAATCGATCAAGGAAGTTGTTGGTAGCAAATTGGGACCCGATCACGCCGCTTGCCTTTATGATGGCTTGGTTCGTGCCTCGAGTACCCAGACTCAAATGCTTTTGGTAGAATGGATCAGATCTCGGGGATTTTACTCAGTCACATTCCATCGGTGTGGCCATGTAATTTGGACATTTCGGAACCGTTTGGACCAACACAACACTAAGTTCTGCCTGTCCCCAAAACAACTGTGTGTTTATCTGAATTTGGCTCCCCTGGCTGGCCTTGAAGGCCATCTTATATGAATTCACCTGAAGAACATGTGATCTGATGCTCCCCCCACCCCCCACCAGGAATTTCCAACTGATAACCAGAGGAAACCAGATGAATAAACATTGTGTCATCATTTCAGGACTCTTGGATTCCCCGACATCCCTCAAGAATGTTTATGGATCACACTGGAGGAAGCTGGCTGATTATTCCATCCTTATCAGAACTCTGACAGTGACCTCGAGAGCGTCCATGAACATTGCTCACCGCTCTCGTCGTCTCCCCCCTCTGTAGAATGTTTACATCACTGTGCGCTTGTTTGTGCGAGGTGTTTTTTAATAATTAGAGTTTTTCTTCTCAGGCAAGAAGAAAAAGTCTGATAGGAATTTTTTCGCCTCCAATTCCTACATGTGTCCAGTTTTACTACTTTTTGTCTGTCTAAACAGATCTCACTTGTAAAAGAGTCTTCTAGGCTCAATGTGACTTGTCTAAATAAAGGTTGAACTGGCAGGTAGCACAGACTGTCCAGATGACCAGACAGAATTTTGTTGGATTTTTCCCCTGGATTATTGAACATGAACTTTAATGTTTTGAACCACTTTGGCTATGGCTGCCTCAGAAGAGTCGACGGGGGAGAGGGCGGACTTCAGAAACCATCTTATCACCAGCAAACTGTTTGGTCCACTATGTGAGTGTGCTGCTTGTGGGGCTGAGTTGGTTGTGGCTAATCGGACTGATTAAGTCCTTTGGATGAAAGACGAAACGTCTCAACAAAAAAAGAAACTGTCCAAATAACCTGACTGGACTTTGTTGGATTTTCTACCTGGATTATTGAGCATGAACTTTGATGTAAGTTTTTATTGTTTTCAAACGTAGTTTGTTGAAATTTGGCGATTAATCACCTGGCAACAAGCTAGTTTTGTTTACCGGAGTTTAAAAATGCAACTTTTATTGGTCTGGAGTAATATCAGGAATTCCAGCGGTACATTTAAAAAGAGGAATCCTCAAACTTCACAATTACGCCAAACATTATACAAAGGAATTTCCTGGCTCAACAGCAGCCGCCAGAGAAAAATGGTTTGTTTCAAAGGAATCTACACAAGAATTAACAGTTTCTGAAGACATACATGTTAGAAACCTCTGATTAGAAGGTAGATTAGGAAGATTATATGCTACTTTAGCTACTGGGATTGCTAGATGGTGCTTTTATGGACTCATTTTTAGGCAAATTTTCATACTTACACTTTTTGCATGCACCCTATGTTCAATTGAACTCATTTTGCCAGCACAGGTCACAAATGATTTGCAAGTGTGTTCTGATGTTTTGCAGAACCAAATCCAATGACACAAAGCCCCAAAAAGCACAACAGGACAGAAGACGGAAGAGGAGGGGGATTCGGGTTTCTGTGCAGAAATCTTAATGCTGTATACTTACTGGGTTTTTATGCGGCGCCACGCCCTGACAGCACAAAGGCAAGCACATACAAACTCTTAAAATGCACCAGGTTAGAGAGGGAAATTAAAAAAAAAAAAAAAGTGAAAGAGGCGAAGACGTGAAGCGAGCAACGTGCACGTGGAGCTTACCTGCGCGTGCACCAGGGAGTCATTGAAGAGGATGAACCAGTTGACGGAGAACCTGCCGGCGTTCTGCAGGGTCAGAGACTTGTTGCTGCTCTCGTAGATGAGTCGGCGGTGGGGCTTCCTCAGAGAGTCCTGACGACAAACGGAGACATTCAGCGACGCGAGATGCCACGAAAACCAAAAATGCACTCAGCAGGTTTACCGTCATTTTGCCCGGAAAGCTCTTCCAGAAGTGAAAGGTGTAATTAGCCTCTTTCCTTTTTCTCTTCAGCTGGACAGTAAAAGCTTCAAACTTGGAGCAGCTGTCCTGCAGCTTCTGATACTCACTGGAACACTGACGACACAAACCAACAATGTGACACTGTGTAGCCATCATGACGCCTCTAAAATTCAGCCATTGTTACCGGTATTGTGGTCAAATATGGTGCGGTAGTAGCTGAAGTACTTCTCCAAAACACACTCTGAACTAGGGTTGCACGATATTATCGCATGTATCGGTATCGGCTGATATTAGCGATAAAGTTAAATATCGGCCATTCCATTAAAATAACTCACCAATATGCACAAATTTGCACAGTTTGAGTGTTGTCATTGTGTTAGAGAGTAAATGTCATGAATAAATTTGACATTAAACATAATCCAAATTGAAGTGTTACATCATTTTCAGCCCCTTTTTTACATCTGCATTTGGTAACAGGCCAAACTGACAGACCATGCAGAATAATGTAGTGTTTTAATTCCACAGCAGAGAAAACTATGTAGTCTCTGTAAGTAAGTCTAGGGGAAAATATCGGTACTGGTATCGTTTATTGGCCAAATAAGTTTCAACATATTGGCATATCAGATATCAGCCAAAAATCAAATATAGTGCACCTCTACTCTGAACATTAACAGATTAACATCATTCTATAGAGTACGAAATCAGACGTCGGGTTATTTTTCAAGATTTGACAGAAACAAAGTCCAAAACTTCTGAAAGTAAGATCAAAGTTCATGCTCAATAATCCAGATAAAAAAAATCCAACAAAGTTCAGTCAGGTCATCTGGACGGTTTCTTTTTTTGTTGAGATGTTTCGTCCTTCATTTAAAGGACTTCATCAGTCCGAGGAGCCACAAGAAACTGAGTTCCGAAAGCAGCACACTTACATAGTGGACCAACTAGTTTGCGCGTGATAAGATGGTTTCTGGGGCCCGCCCTCTCCCCCGTCAACTCCTCTAAGGCAACCATAGCCAAACGGCTATGGCTAACAACTGAGCTTGTTGTGGCTCCTCGGACTGATGAAGTCCTTTGGATGAAGGACAAAACGACTCAACAAAAAATAAACCGTCCAGATGACCTGATTGAACTTTGTTGGATTTTTACCTGGATTATTGAGCATGAACTTTGATGTTTTGAACCACTTTAGCTATGGCTGCCTCAGAGGAATCGACAGAGAAGAGGGTGGGCCCCAGAAACCATCTTATCACCATCAAACCGGTTGGTCCACAATGTGAGTGTGCTGCTTGTGGCACTGATTTTGTTGTGGCTCCTTGGACTGATGAAGTCCTTTGGATGAAGGACGACACGTCTTAAAAAAAATAAAAAATAAAAGAAGATACCGTTTAGATGACCTCACTGAACGTTGCTGGATTCTCAAAGTAAGCCGAGCTAGCATAAAAGGGTAATATGAAAACTGTTAGCATAATTAAACAAACTCAAGCTGAGCTGTTTGTCTTCCAAATTATCAATTACTTCATACAACAATAACAGGAAACTGTCAAAAAACAATAACGTTCCTACAGAATTTTTCAAAGCACACAAGTGCTGCTACTGCCTAAAGCTACAACAAAAATAAACTTTCTTCTTAAAGGCCTAAAAGGGATTTGAGACTTAATGTTGTATTAATCTACGACAGAGCCAGACTCTTTCTTATTCTCTAAAATCTAGACAAAGTTGATATTTTTACGCTGTGTTATCTGCAGTTTCATGAAAAGTGCCGTCAGGGAGCAAGAGAAACACGTGTGCAGTTACCATGGTGATTCTAATAAACCTCTAGCATCTTTGTGAAGAGAAACCGTCCATCATTAAACAGGGGCAAACGCCTACATGTTCAACTGTCCATCTCTTACAATGCTGTTATTGCTAATATCACTCAGCCCTCTGTGAATAGTAAGCGGTCATCAGGGTGCTAACGATCCATTGGCAGGCTGATGGTCCTCCTTGATCATGTGAACAGCTGGTTTTGGATGTCACTAGCAAACTGGTGTTGTTGACAATTTGAATAAATCAGTTTCATTTCCTAGCAATACCCTTTAGTTGCAGCCGTTTTGGTGAAACCTTGAAAATAAAAAGTCATGAGATACGAGATATACATCTCTAACATAATGTAGAGTAAATAAATAAATAAAAACTTTGATTTCACGATCACCAGAAGTTCCTGTCGATCACTGTTAAAAAATTATTTCAATGCGACTTAAAGTTTTCGCACAGCGGCTGTTTGTATGAAGCTCATTCTCTAGTTTCCATTTTTGCGCTACAGAAAAGGCGGGAATAACCATGGCAACAAGGTTGTTCTTGGTTTCATTAGTTCATCGCAGCTGTCCCCCGTAAATTCTGTCGAATTTGAACAGTTTGAACGGTTACGCTGCGGAGAACCGATTATAAATTCCGCAAAGTCCAACCAAACTTTAAAAGCAAACAGGAAGAGGTTCAAATCTGGAGTTTCAAAGTAAAGCTTATAGATACTCAAAAGTAGTACTGTACTTTCTGCCGTATAAGTCGCATCAGTCCAAATATGTCTAATAAAGTGGAAAAAATAATAAATATGTCACTTCGCCGTATAAGTCGCAGGTATGATAATTTATGCTAAAAGGTGCAACTTGTACGGCGAAAACTACGGAAGTCAAATTATTTTAATGTTAAACTCCAAATCGTACGAGAAGCTGTATGAGGTGTGTGTATTCTGGGGGTGAAACAGGTAAATGGTCACATTTACCTTTAATCTAGAGTCTAAAAACATAATCTGTGTTTATTCTGCGTACCACTTCAAAGCAGGTGCCCAGTTTGAGCAGCAGCCGTCCGTACTCGTGAAGGTGGAGGGATGGGAGGTAGAAGAGCGCCACGAAGAGGTCCGACACGACTGGGTTCTCCTCGCTGCACTCCGACAGCCTCTGCAGCAGCTCGGGACTTTTCCCAAACATGTCTCTTTAAAAAAGCACCGAGTTTTCAAACACCAAGCAGTTTCACATCAGGACCAGTCTCTGTGTTTTCATGCACTCACAGGGTTGGCTTTGTTAAAGCATGGAAGCCTCCCATGACATGAAAGTTGCCCACAGCACTGCAGTAACTTGAAGAAAACACAAATATTTGAAGTATTATTACACATCTCTACAAAGTCAAAGTGATGGATAATTGTTGAGCACATACTCGTTGTAGGAGTCGAGGAAGATGCTAGTGTGGTCAAGGATCAGCAGGCTCTTCACATCGCGGCAGCGGCGGATATTAGCGGTGAGGCTGACAGCGTGCTGCCCGGTCAGGTGACACAAGAGGCTAAACCGACCAGCCAGCATTTGCAGGAGCTCAAAGGTCACCTGGCCTAGTGCTGAGCTTAGGGACTCTAACAGCAACAGTGAAACTCCAAAGTGAAAAACAGTCGGAGAAAAAGAGGAACGAACAAAAAAGTACTGTTAAAGAAATTGCATTCTCACCCAGCTCCAGCAGGGGGCGGAGGACCTGCGACCTGATGCTGCACAGCTTGCAGTAGAACTTTCTCTCGGCGGACGCCAGCTCGTGGAGGCCGGCGATGAAGCCCATCACATTACGGTCTGAGAGCGCCACGCAACTCAGACCGCCGGCAAACACGCTGTTCACAAAACCGAGCTGCGAGACAACAACAAAAATCTGAAACCCTGGAACTCTGGAGACAAACCCCACAGAAATCATGTTAAACATACAACTGGAACCTGTGACTATTATCCTACAGGTTCCGGTCATAAAATTAGAATATCATGAAAAAGTTGATTTATTTCAGTAATTCCATTCAAAGAGTGAAACTTGTATATTATATTCATTAAATACAAACAGACTGATATATTTCAAATGTTGATTTCTTTTAATGTCAATGATTATAACTGACACCTAATGAAAACCCCAAATTCAGTATCTCAGAAAATTAGAATATTACTTCAGACCAATAAAATTAAAAGTATGAACATGAAAGTATGAGCATGTACAACACTCAGTACTTAGTTGGGGCTCCTTTTGCCTGGATTACTACAGCAATGTGATGTGGCATGGAGTGGATCAGTCTGTGGCACTGCTCAGGTGTCATGAGAGCCCAGGTTGCTCTGATCGTGGCCTTCAGCTCTTCTGAATTGTTGGGTCTGGTGTATCACATCTTCCTCTTCACAATACCTCATAGATTTTCTATGGGGTTAAGGTCAGGTGAGTTTGTTGGCCAATGAAGAACAAGGATACCATGGTCCTTAAACCAGTGCCAAGTCCTGTTGGAAAATGAAATCTGCATCTCCATAAAGTTGGTCAGCAGCAGGAAGCATGAAATGCTCTAAAACTTCCTGGTAGATGGCTGCGTTGATCTTGGACCTCAGAAAACAGTGGACCAACACCAGCAGATGACATGGCACACCAAACCATAACTGACTGTGGAAACTTGACACTTGACCTCAAGCAACATGGATTCTGTACCTCTCCTCTCTTCCTCCAGACTCTGGGACCTTCATTTCCAAAGGAAATGCAAATTTTACTTTCATCAGAGAACATAACTTTGGACCACTCAGCAGCAGTCCAGTCCTTTTTGTCTTTAGCCCAGGGCAGACGCTTCTGACGCTGTCTCTTGTTCAAGAGTGGCTTGACACAAGGAATGCAACAGCTGAAACGTGTCTTGCTTACGTCCGTGCGTGGTGGTTCTTGAAGCACTGACTCCAGCTGCAGTCCACACTTTGTGAATCTCCCCCAAATTTTGGAATGGGTTTTGTTTCACAATCCTCTCCAGGGTGTATCCCTATTGCTTGCACAGTTTTTTTCCTACCACATCTTTTCCTTTTTTTCACCTCTCTATTAATGTGCTTGGACACAGAGCTCTGTGAACAACCAGCGTCTTTAGCAATGACCTTTTTTGTCTTGCCCTCCTTGTGCAAGGTGTTAATGGTCAGGTCTCTCTTGTAAATGAGTCCTCGAGGCTCAATGGGATTTACCTGTCTAAAAAAAAAGTTGAATGAATGAAAAATTGCAGTTTTTTGGACAACTGTCAAGTCAGCAGTCTTCCCCATGATTGTGTAGCCTAAAGGACTAGACTGAGACCATTTAAAGGCCTTTGCAGGTGTTTTGAGTTAATTAGCTGATTAGAGTGTGGCACCAGGTGTCTTCAATATTGAACCTTTTCACAATATTCAAATATTCTGAGATACTGAACTTGGGGTTTTCATTAGTTGTCAGTTATAATCATCAATATTAAAATAAATCAACATTTGAAATATATCAGTCTGTGTGTAATGAATGAATATAATATACAAGTTTCACTTTTTGAATGGAATTACTGAAATAAATCAACTTGTTCATGATATTCTAATTTCATGAACAACACCTGTATATACAAGTAAAGTGCTATGTGTTGTCATCATTGTATGTTCCAATACAATGGCGAAATTGGTTCTCTGCGTTTCACCCATCGCATCTGGGATACACCCAGGCGGAGCAGTGGGCAGCTATGCAAGTGCCCAGGGAGCAATGAAGGATTAGGTGTCTTGCTCGGAGACAACATGACATATGGGAATGGTTGGGGATCAAATTTGGGACTTGTATATATCCAATTTATATATATATATATCCAGTTTGTTCATCCTCACGTTCATGCAGAAAGGCAGCAGGACAGGTTGCTGGGTGTAGGCCCCCGCTTGATTCTCCTCCTCTTCCTCTCCTCCTTCCTCCTGACCCGCCTTCTCCTCCTCGTCCTTCACCTGCTGCCCGCTGTAGTAAATGATGGGCTGGATGCAGTCTCCGTCCGCCAGCAGGAGGGTGTGCCTCTCTCCGGCGCTCACGTCCCAAACCCGGATTCCCTCTGACAGCTGGACACGGGAGACGCTCAGGTTTAAAAAATAAATAAAGGTAATCTTCAGAACCTAATGTAGAGGAAGAGCTGGTTTCAAACCTTTGCAAGGCGGGGGATGGTGCTGGGGGCCTCCATGTGTCCGAGCTGACCGGCGCTGTTGCTGCCCCATGAGAACACCTGGGTGATGGAAACACAAGGACAAAAAAACCTTTAGCTGTTTTTAAACTTGATTCTGCTGCGTTTGTTAAGCTCAAACTATTTAAATCTTCTTTTATTGATATTTTCAGAACAAAAAACACTTAAAAAAACCCAACTAGCACTCTTTCAAGGAATGCACATTACCCACCACATTTCATGCCAGAGTTTTAAACTGAAATTATGCACCGAGAAGTGGAGACTTGTACGAACCTTGTAAATAAAATTATAAATCTCATGATGCAAGATGTTTGTGTTAGCGCTCAGACTAAATCCTACAACTTCTGTATATTCAAAATAAAACAACATTTAAATACTAAGTTAGTTAAGACAAATGTTAGATTTTTTTTATTTGTAATTAAATGCTAGATTTTAATATATCTAGGCCTTCATTTATTTGTCTCTTTTGAAATGGTGCTATTTTAACTACTGCGGCTCCAGCAGCAGTCGTAATAATGCGACAGCCGGCATTAGTTTCTGGCAGATCCGACCTGCCAAAAGAAAAGGAAAACCAAGATTTACTGTGGCTAAAAAAAAAAAACAGAAGAAAAAGAAGAAGGAGAAAGAATAGGAAAAAAAATAAAACAAGAACAAGGACACGAACAAGAACAAAAAGAACAAAAAAGAACAAGAACAAGAGAAAGAACAATAACTAGAGCAACAAGAACAAGAAGAAAATAAACAAGAAGAAGAACAGAACAAAAAGAACAAGTCTGAAACCTTCAGATCCCGTCTCTGATCATAAACAGCGTTTTTTCTGTTCGCCGGCATTAGTAGATATTTGTCCATTCAACCTTTATTTAGACAAGTTAATCCCATTGAGCCTCGGGGACTCATTTACAAGAGAGACCTGAAAATGAGAAGAGATAAACCAACCTGAGACTGAGCCGTTAGAGCGACAGAATGATGAGCCCCGGCCACCACCCGCACCACCTCCTTGTTGTTCAGGCTTTTGATGCACTGTGGCTGCAGCCTGTAAACAAACAAACACGAACAAATCAGAGGTCAATGACAGCCCTCATCAACAGGAAACAGAATTAAACTGTCAGGAATTAAATGGACTCAACATATTGATCTGATCTGGACTCGGTGTTTTGCTACTTTTAACAAGCACTTTGCTACTTGTGTCATTTTGCTTTCGTTTAACTACTTTTAGCTTTTAAACAGCATTTTCATACTATTTGCCATCATTTTGCTACTTTTAGCCTTTAGATAGCATTTTGCTAGTTTTAGCTGTTAGCTACTTTTAGCCTTATTCCAGCATTTTGTTTCTTTTAGCTCTCAGTTTCAGCTTCTTCAGTCACCGTCAGCAGTCATTCAGCACTCAGCCTTCGCAGTGGATTTTCCCCATCCAAAACGTTGTCTCAGGTTCTAGATGTTTGACCACGGGACGTCCCAAAAGTCCCCTGTAATGTGAAATATGTTTCCAAGTCTTGTGCTCCTACCTGACCGAATTGTCTCCGTGCCCCAGCTGGCCGTCCTCGCCTTGTCCCCAGCTCCACACCTCTGTCTGCAGGGTGGGCAGAACTTCCGGCGCGTCGGGGACGCCTCCTTCCATCGGGGTGAAGGCTGAGGCACGGATCCTGGGACGGCCCACTTTTCTTAGCAGCCGCGGCGACACTGAAGAACAGAACTCACTTAACCGCAAAATAATCCAACTACCACACCATGTATGAGCTCAATATCTGTAAAAATAGAGTTATAACCTTTTTGTGTTTTCATGGCTGTGTTGAATCAGGTTAATTACAAAAGTTAAAGGGTTTTTTACTGACACACACACACACGATCGCCTGCCTTTTATGGCAGCAGGTGCATATTAAGCAAAGTGAAAATGAAAGGTGTGATGTTTAGCGCATATTTATTGCTATTTTTGGGTGTAACTGGGACCCTGAGTACACAATTTCATTCCACCTCATGTACCACATGTGATACGAATGACAAAGTCACCATGAACCTTAAGCAGCTAGAACAAACTAAGACGAGCTTCATAAATCTTAGGTGACATCCAGTTCAAATTAGTCTCTATTGTACTCAGCGTCCGATTTCTAACAGACAATTCCAGATCAAACCACCTCCGCGTATTTGATGAATTTTATTCCTGCGTAAAGACTTGTTCCCACCTTTTTAATCCAACAGGAATCCCTCATTCTGCTCTAATAAATCCAGCTGTTGCTTTCAGGTGGCGGAGTAAAATTCAAACAAACCTGCACCCTTTTCTCCGTCACAGTGAGGATTTCACTGAATGCCAGGCTGCATTCTGCACAGCTTTTAATCCAACAAGAACGAGCTTTCAGACAAGAAAAGCTCCTTTAAACTGAGCCAATTTACCGTATTTTTTGGCCTATAAGTCGCAGTTATTTGCATAATTTGCATGCCCTGCGACTTATAGGCTGAAGCAACGTATTTATAGATTTTTTCCCATATTTATAAACCAAATTTTGGCTGAGATATGACCGTTTTCATTCATTCAGACAGAAAACATTAAACACTACCATTTTCAGCCACTAGATGGCAGTGGAGTAGTATAGCATGCCTTGTGTCATGTAATAGGTAAAAGCAGCTTATTAATGACATCATCGGCTTGCCACCTTCGTCCAGCTTGCTTGGAGCAACCAGCTTCATTTCGTTGCAACGCTCCACCGAAATGCAGCTAATTTGACCAGTAAAATGCATTTATTAAGGAAAAGTTCCACTGAGACACACCTTTACTATAATGTCGAGCAAATGAATAATTGTTTTTAAGTGTTAATCTTGTTAAATTCTTGTTAAAGTCCTCCGTGCACACTCCAGCGGCCACCATTTGGCAGCCAATCGATTTTTGGCACAACACTGGCCCAAATTTCCGGGTTGTCAGTGGTGACGCATAATAGATGCGACTTATGCAGCAAAACAACATATTTATGGATTTTTCCACTTTATTAGACATATTTGGACTGACGCAACTTATAGGGTGGAGCGACAATTATGGCAGAAAATACGATAGTAAGCAGAATACATGTTAAGACTGAAAAACGATAACGTAGTTTGTGGAGAAAAAGTTAACGTTTCATTTAAAAGAAGCCAATAACCATGATGCATTAAGTACTAAAGTAAGATTGTGTCAATGAAAAAGGTGGAAAACAAATAATTCTGCTTGTCATAACGCTGAGTCAGAATTCACGATTGTTTCCCAGAGTTTGCGTATGTAGCTGCATTTCAAATAACTGTTCATGTATCAAAACATTCAGCTCAAACATGAACACAGACTTATTTGTAACTTGCATACTTTTTGAAACATTTCACTTTATGAAAAGGTTTCTTCAAATAAAACGCTTTGAGATATTTTACACTGATTCAAAACCACAGTTTGTTCAGCTTTTAGCTCTCGTCTTACTAATGAATCAGAATCAGGCTTTATTCTCATTGCACAGAAGCACAACAAAATTTCATTTCAGTTTAGCCCATCCAAAGAAATGCAAACAACCAAATAACATCATGGGTAGACGGAGTGCCTGAGGCTGCAGCCTCATGAGAGGCGCTGCCTTTTTTCCCCGTTGGATAAGGAAAAGGGAACACGAGGAAAGGGGAGTTAAAAAAAATCCTATCTCAAACCGTGTCCCTAATAGGACACAGTGTGAAAATTGCACATAAAACCCTCAGCACCAAAAAAGCAACATACAGATGACATCAGACATATGCATGTGGAGTGGGTGAGGGTGAAGTGGGAGGGGCTTCCAGCACAGGCTGCCCAAGAGAGCGTCGCAGCCACCTGGCGCCTCGCATCCAACCTAGGTTACCGCACTGAGGAGTCAAAAGGAGGGAAGCCAGCGAAGGCGGTGTGTTGAGGAGAGTATATTTGTAGATGTGCCATTGAGTGTATGCACGTGTGCGTTTGCAAGAAAGTCCGTGAACACCGTTGCCATAGTCCGTGAAAGTGATGGTGCAATGTTAATCAGACGACCTTGGTAGAGCTCTGACACAGGTTCACAAATGTCCTTGGGGAAGAGAACGAGTAGTGGGAGCAGAGCTTCTTGTTCACATAACATCCAGGAGAATTTGAGATAGCCTTCCAAGGCCGACACGGGGGAGCCAGATTCAGAAAACAGTTGTTTTGGGTCAGGCCGACTCAGTTTAATTTCCATCTGCCTTTTACAGTCTCACTGGTACATCTCAATGGTGACTCCAAACAGCCAAATTTGTGGTCAGTTCCGTAGAGCTGAGCTTGTAACTTCTCCAAGGTCAATTCCTTCCTGCCAGTGAGATTCAGAAGCTGCAAGTAGCATGTGGTTCTCGGCAAGAATCACGTCCAGAATATGGCTCAGCTCACACAGCATTTGAGTCTGAGTGCTCACCGCACAGCACATTCCCTCACACAGGTCACGCAGCTTCACAATGGCCAGAACAACTGCTGATGTTTTTCGAATTTGTCAATCTGCCAGGTAACCACCAACTCCAAAAAGTAGAAATCCTGTTACCATAAATCCAATTATGACCGCATCTTCAACATCCTCGACCGACAATATGGACACACGGTCTTCCACTGTCCCAGGAATCCTTTGTGCGAGTGTCCCGTCGGGGCAGGAGGTCTCTCCTTCGCCCTGTCTTCTCATCGAGAAAATATGATCAATTGCATTGAGAGACCAGCTGACCAGATCCATAATTTACAATTCGGAAGATATGCAAAGAGAGACTCCGAAAGGTTCGCAGGACAAAGAGCATAAGCGGGGGAAGGAGCAGGGAGAAAAAGCATCTGTTATTGTTAAAGTTATTGTTTTACCTTGTTTTATATGGCACCTTGATTTGATTGTTATTATAACACTTTATTTTAATTAGGCCTGTCACGATAAATTTTGCTGGGTGATTAATTGTCTCAGAAACTATTGCGATAAACAATAATATTGTTTGAAATTTATCAATAATTAATTGTCAAATTTTAGAAAAAAATTATTATTTGTTTGGAGTGTAGTACCTTTTCTGACCACCTGATGGCAGTATAAGACTGTTTGAACCAAAGGATGGATAGTTGAGCAGCGAAGAAAAATGGGAGGGAGGGCCCTTGACAAGACATGGTGACATGGTGGACACTCGGTGATTTGAGCTCTTTAGCATAGTATTTGTCACACAAAGCTTTTAATTAAAAAAAAAAAATCAGTAAACAAGTTCTCAGCTTCTTTTGTGCAGAGAAAAACAACTTTCTTACATGAAGGCACTGGTTTCAACCGTGAATTTTGGAGCTCGACAAGACGGAGGTTTATTCCCCGAGGTCAGCTTGTTAGCTTAGCTCGTAGCTTAGCTTCTCAGCTTAGCTGCTTTTAACGATCCAAAAATGTGATTTTGGATCGTTAAAATGGATTTTAAAGAGAAAGGGAGGGGTCAGTGAAGAGCACTGGAGTTGAGTCTTTTATCATCCAGTGTCTTCAGTAGAGAGAGACACAAATAAACGATAAAGTTGGTAAATGAAAATGAGGTCGATAATTTTCATTCACGATGCGATTAATTGATGTATTGTTTATTGCGACAGGCCTAATTTTATTTGCTTTTTATTGTTGTCTGTCTAAAACAGGTCTCCCTTGAACATGAGTCCTCGTGATTCAGTGAGACCAACCTGTAAAAATAAAGGTTAAATTAAATTAGCTTATTTTAGCTTTTGGATATTGTTTTGCTCACGTTAGCTTTTAAATACTCAAATACTTTGATTTTGTACTAAATTTAGATGTTAGAAAAGTAACAAGTGCATAAAAATAAAAGCGTTCTGGAGTAAAGTGAAAGTAAAAGCAGCGGTAGCTCGTCTTTGTTAGAAAGAAATTATGTTTCTCTGATTATTGTGAGAGACTGGTTACTTGATGGACACCAACCAATTACTAAAAACTTGAGGATTTTAGCTTTTAGCTACTCTTGGTGATTTTAACTTCTGCTGAGCTCAATATTCAGAGAAAAGCTACAGCTAATTTAGTTGCCACGTCCATCAAATCCTGAGTTAATCAAATATCTTGAAAAAAAAAAAAACATAAGGGTTCTGGTCAAACATTATGAGGAAACACTACTGAGAAAAATCCTACATCATTTATTGATCGGGATGCTTTCGTAAACAGTTATGAACTTTAGCCTCTCTGATAAAGGTTTATTTTTGACTTTGGCGTTTCTGTGAAAATTTGCACTTGATCATGATTCTTTGAAGTATTTCAATTGATTTTTGTATGTTAATTGGATCAATCTTAGAAGTATTTCTAGAGAGCTGGAGCTCTGTGACAAAGATTTCTGAACAGATTTCAAATGTCTGTGTTCACTTGTTCTCCGACATCCATCGGGGGTACTGCACCTACAGTACGGATCGTGCAGTGACAACACCAACTGAAAACCTTTCATCTCAGTGGATGTTAAGGTTTTTTTTAACAAAACAAATCAAATTGGTTTCCCGCCATGTGGTTGCTGCGTTTGTCGGCGATGCACAGTGGAGCTCAGCGGGGGAAGTGTTTCCCTGGAGATCAGTGGGGTTTCTCTTCAAGTATAAAATGGCCTTGAGGAAAAGAACATCTCTCTGCTACATCAGAGAGCAGAATTTCTAACTTATTGCCTAGCAAGAATCCAGCTTTATGTAAGGAGTATTCAAGTACTAGAAAAATAAGAGAGATGTTTGAATATCTATCGACAATCGGGCAGGACTAACTAAAAATTAACCAATTTCAGTTGGCTCCTGAGAAGTCTGCGCTCTTAAATCGTCTTCTTTCAGCTTTTTCTTTACCAGGGGTCGCCACGAGTCATTCTTCTCCATCTCATTCTGTCCTCTGCATTTTATGTCCTCACTCCAACTACCTCCATGTCCAGATGAGGTGCACATAGCTGGTACGCATGTGCAACAAAAATTAGGAATGCATAGCATCACCTGTGTTACCACTAGGCCTGTCACGATAAATTTTGCTGGGCGATTAATTGTCTCAGAAATTATTGCGATAAATGATAATATTGTTTGAAATTTGACAATAATTAGTAATTACTGTCAAGTTTAAGGAGGAATGTTGGTTAATTTGTTTTGAGTGTAGTACCTTTTTTGACTAGCCGTAAGAAGGCGACTAGAAACTTTGAGGAGGACTGCCACGTGGCGGCCATTTTAAAATTTTGATCCGACAGTTCTGTGTGTTCGAGTTCACTCTCAAATTTCAGCTCAATATGCCAACGAATCACCAAGTTATAGCATTTTTTTTTTTTTTAGCTCAGGTGGCCATCTTGGATATTTGATTTGCAATCAGAGTCTATTAGAGATTGTTCTCAGCTACCAAAACACCAAATTTCAGCTAAATAGCTCTAAAATCCCCTGAGCTATATCCATTTGAAATTAGCTTTGGCGGCCATATTGAATTTTTAGAATTTAATTCAGAATGCGTTGTGCATTGCAGTCAAGTACCACCACAACACATTTAAGCTTAGTATCTTTTAAAGTAGTTGAGTTATATTTTTTCCTCTTTATGCTAAGACGGCCATCTTGGATTTTTAATTTGCATTAGGAATGAATAACAACTCGCTCTCAGCTACAACCACACCAAATTTCAGCTCAATATCACAAATGATTCCCGAGTTATAGCTCATTTCAAATTTACAGAGGTAGCTATGGCAGCCATCTTGAATTAAAATAGCTTCAAAAATTAATCGTTATTTTATTCAAAGACATCTCCACTGTAGGTCATGTGACCTCATTGTGGCAGTTAGAGGCTGTGAAAAGTTCTGTCAGTGTTTTTCAATGAGGAAAAAAATGGCGCCTTTGTTTGCCAATTCCGTCGCCATGGTAATTCGAAACGCCAGTAAAAGTAATAGCACACATCATGGTGCCAAGCCGGTTGTTTAGATATAACATTTGTAGGGGTACACAATGCAGTTCGAGCCGCATTTAAGTTGAAATAAGAGCAACATCCTTTTCAGGTAGATAATAGGTGGCTGCCTTTCAAGGAAGTCCACAATAATGTTAAGAAACCCTGGTGAGGTGGATTATAATAGGGTGCTACTTTTCAAGGCAGTCCCCAATAAAGTTAAGAAACCCTAGTGAGGTGGATAATAATAGGGTGCTAACTTTCAAGAAAGTCCCCACTAAGAGGTGAACAGCATATCTACCCTGAGAGAGGAGTCCAGGCAGCGACAGGCGACGCCGCAGACTCTCCGTCTCCTCCTCGCAGATGTCCCCTGTGCTGGAGCTCTTCTTGGCCTGCACAGAGTCCTCCTGACGGACTCGCTCCGCGGCGTTGTCACTCACGCCGCCGAGCGCCTCCGAGCGAGACGGCAGGTAGAAGTTCATCATCTTCCTCAGGGACAAGGCTTCGTAGGTGGAGGCGACGCGCTCGCTCACCGCAGAGGCGCAGGAGGCCACCAGGCTGTTGAGGGTGGAGGAACCCTGAGCTCCTGAAGGCGGCTGGAGGAGAAACAAAGATCTAAAACATCAATAGTTCCTGGAGAAACTTTGACGGGGACTGCCACGCTGCCGCCAATATAAAATTTAGATTTGACTATACTATGTGTTTGGGTTCTCTGTCAGCTACCACTATAACAAATTTCAGCTGAAAAAGTCTAAAGATGTCTGAGTTACCGTATCCCTTTTAGCTAAGGCAGCCATCTTGGATTTCTTTATTTGGATCCAGTATGTGATGGGGAATGTCCTCCACGATTACCACACCAAATTTCAGCTGTATATGTAAGAAAATAGCTTAGTTAAAGCTGTTTAAAAGTAGCTTTGGCAGCCATCTTGGATTTTTTTTTTTTTGGATTCAGTATGTGATGGGAAACACTATCAACACACAAAAATTCAGCTCAATAGCTCTAAAATTAGCTGATTTATAGTATTTTTCATTTTTAGCTCAGGCGGCCATATTGGATTTCAGATTTGCATCAAGAATATGAAAGCTCGCCCTCAGCTACGACGACCAGAGCAAACTTCAGCTCAATATCTCACAGAATGATGGAGTTATAGAAGTTAGAAACTGTTGAGGCGTTTTGCATGAGAAAAATGTCGTCTTTGTTTGCAAATTACGTCGCCGTGGTAACTCGACACACCAACAAAAGTAAAAGCACACATTACGGTGCTGATATGACAATTGTGGGGGTACAAATTGCGGTTGGGGCCACATTAATATAAAGTTAAGAAACCCTTGTCAGGTGGATAATAATAGGGGCTGCCTCTTACTAGGCAGTCCCCAATTAATTCAGAAATTATTGAAAATTTCCTGATCTTGGAGTACAAGTTGTGAATGATGGTTAATATCCCACCAAATCCTACCATAATATTTGTAAAATTGACTGAATTACGGTTGTTTCGCGTTTGTAAGGACAGTTAGCTGTGGCGGCTGTCTTGATTTGGATTAAAAATTAAATTGGGGCTGTTCAACTAAACTGCTCAGGGGGGGCACAGTTACTGAAAGCCAAGAGCTCGGGGGCCAGACATCCTGCAGTTATTCTCACTAAGAAAGTTTGTTTTACGGTTTAAAATCAAGTTTTATTTGAAATGAACCCATCGGTGGGCCCAACTGAGCTCATCCGTGAGCCCTGATTTGGCCCGCGGACCGCCAGTTGAATAACCCCGAATTAAACAGGTGTAAATGAAGATCAAACGATTATTTCCTGAAGCGGTTCTGAAGGAGCTCACCATCTTTGACGCGGTCTGCGTGCAGTCCGACAGCTTCCTCAGGTACTCCTTCACCGCCTGCTCGTCAGGATAAGGGGAACTTTTAACCCCGGGGGCAGCAGAACCCGATCTAGACTGAACCGACCCATTGGAGTCCGGGGTCGGCTGCTCTCCGTTGGTTAAAACAGTCCCCGCCCCCTCTGAGGTCTGAGCGCTGGAGGGCTCAGAGGTGGGGTCGGTGCGTGATTTGGGAGAAGGGGCTGCTGGGATTGGAGAAGAGGTGACGTAGGAGGGGAGAACTGGCTCAGATGGAGAGCTTTTGAGGATCTGGGTGGGAGGTGGCGCCTGGAGCCCGTCCTCCCCCCGCGGCGAGCAGAAGTGGCTGTCAGAGATGATCACGTGGTCCTCCTTGTCCGTCATGGTGAACAGCAGCTGGTTGCACTGGTTGCATTTGTCCACAGGGGGGCGCTGGACCTCCTTAGAGCCCAGACAGCGGACCAGTGCCAGGTTGTGGTCCGCCCCGCAGGCCACCTGTAGCACGCACCGCCCCGCCAGCCCCTCCACCCTCTGAGGTTTCCAAGGCGGGACCGTGGCTCCGCCCCACGCCCACACCTCCCTCTGCACCGACAGCGCCAGGCTGTGCTTCTCCCCGCAGGCCAGCTCCACAACCGGCACCGTCTGAGCGCCGCTGGAGTCCAGCAGGGCCAGCGGCGTCGGGTTGGGGACCAAGCTGAGGCCCGACAGGCCGCACTGCCCCGCGCCGTTGTCCCCCCACATGTGGACGCCGCCGTCCTCTGTCACGGCGCCGCTGTGGAAGCTCCCTGCTGCCACGGTGACCACTCGCTGCCCACCGAGCGCGCTCTCCAGCGTCGGCTCCACCGCCTCTGATGCTGGTCGCTGTTTCCATGGCAACTCACCAAAACTGTACACCTGTCCTCCTGCAGGGGGAGGAGTCAGAAACAGGAGTGGTGTAGTTAGTGCAGCAACCTGAGCCCACACAGCTGCAAACAGATGTTCATCCTCTCCACACAAACATGTTTAGCTACTTTCAGCTACATTGTGATCCTTTTAGGTTCTTTCTGCTAATTACAACATTTCTGTGCTTTTTCTGACTTATTTCTGATAATTTCAGCTCATTATGCTCCTTTCAGCTTATTTATGCTAGTTTCAGCTGCTATGTCAACTAGCATTTAGCTGTTTTATTCTAATTCATTTTCAACTACCGTAATTTCCGGACTATAAGCCGCTACTTTTTTCACACACTTTGAACACCGTGGCTCATACAATGCTGCGGCTAAATTATGGATTTTTTTTAATGGGCTAACGAGCTTCATGCCACCAAAACATTTAGCTTCGTTACACCCAGACGCTCACATAGCTGCCCAATACACGTCTCTCTTGGGGGGTAGCGATCAATGACTTCCTGGTAAACTACTGTATTTTTTTGCCAGCTGCATTACAGACACTGTTCAGAAAAAAAACGTACTGTATTTGTGTGTGTTACGTATTTAATTAAAAGTTTAAAACTGTGTAAATTTTTTCATTTAGCCTTTATTTATACAGGTTAGTCTCATTGAGCCACGAGAACTCATTTTCAAGAGAGACCTGTAAATATCTCCAGTTACAACGTGAACACCCGCGGCTAATAGACAAGTGCGGCCTATTTATGTAAAATTTTAATTTTCTTTTTAAATATAGTGGGTGTGGCCTTCAGGTGCGCTCAACAGTCCAGAAATTACAATACATTCACGTTGTTTTTGCGCTCGTTTAAACTTTTTTCAGCCTAATTCAGCAAAAAATGTGCTCTCTCCACTTTCTTCAGCTAATTTAAGCTTCTTAGCTGTTTTGTAAGTTTCTACTTTTTTCAGATAATTTCCTTTTTGTGTGTTCATTTCTGCTTCTTTAAGCCCAACTGGGCACAACTGTGCTCTCTCCACTTTCTTTAGGTATTTTAAGCTTATTCCTGCCTTTTTAGCTTCTTTTATGCCTTTTTTTTTCTAATTTCAACCTTTTTAGTCAATTTACTAATTTTTGTGCTCATTTCTGCTTTTTAAAACCAAATTCAGCAAATACCGTATTATCCGTCATACAAGTCAGTTTTTTGCATAAATTTGTCAGTCCTGCGACTTATACACCAAAACAACTTATATACAACTTTTTTTCATACTCATGACACAATTTTTGACTGAAACTTTAAATGTTTATTAATACTGACATGAACCAGAGTAAACATTACCATTTGCAGCCACTAGAGGTGCAAGAGGGCCCTCGCATAATAATCGCAACTTATGTTTTTTCCTCTTCGTGATGCTTTTGTTGACTGATGCGACGTATACGCCAGAAAATACGGTACATCTTCTTTCTGCTTTTTTTCTTTTTTCTTTCTGCCATTTGCAGAAAAACAAACAAAAACAAAGTCTCACCCTCCACCAGCAGCACACCATGCTGCGCTCCCAGAGCCACCTGGAGCACCGGCCGCCGGAGGAGCAGCCTCTCTGGGGTGACGCTGTACGAGTAACCTTTCCAGGTGTGGAGGAGGCCCCGCCCCCCAGCATCGTCGTCTTCTTCAGAACTGAGAGACACAGAGAGTTCGAAAACGTAATCTGGGAGAGTTAGAAACTTGTACGGATGTTTGGCTCCTTTAAAACTAAAAGAAGCTAAAGAAACTGGATTTCCTGTGAAAGTTCACCGTGAATGCTGACGGCTGAGATTTGCTGCCAAAAGCTAAAAAGAACAAAATACGCTCCACCCCTCCCCAATTATTTTAAATAAATAATCAAAATAAGCAAATGACAGGAAAACGGGCGCAGAACACGTTAGAAAAAGCAGCAGAATGCTGGCAAGATCGTCATCAAAAAGCAAAAATGCTTTCCAAAAGCTAAAATTAGCAAAGTGATAGATTAAAAAAATAAATAAAGAAAGAAAAACCAAAAAGAAGCAAAATACTAGCAAAAAGCCATAATGAGGAAAATCTTACCCAAGAGTAGAACAATATTCACTACAACATTAAACTTCTAAAAGAAAGAAGCATAATGCAAGCAAAACATAGCAAGACCTTAGCTAAACACACAAAACAGCTAAAAAAAAAAAAACCCAGCAATGCTAAAAGATCAAAATATTAGCTAAGAATAACAACAAAAATGCAAGTATGAAGTAGCAAAAATGCTAACAAACCTCACAAAACAAGACAAAAGCAAAAAAAGAGAAAATGCTAGCCAAATGCTAAAACAACTAAATACTACCTAAAAGCTAAAAAGAGCTAAATGCTAGACAAATGTTAAAACAACAAAATACGACCTAAAAGCTAAAGAGCTAAATGCTAGCCAAATGTTAAACAAAAAAGTACTACCTAAAAGCTAAAGAGCTAAAAGCTAGCCAAATATTAAAACAACAAAATAATAACTAAAAGCTAAAAGAACTAAATGCTAGCCAAATGTTCAAACAACAAAATACTACCTAAAAGCTAAAAAGAGCTAAATGCTAGCCAAATATTAAAACAACAAAATACTACCTAAAAGCGAAAAAGAGCTAAATGCTAGCCAAATGTTAAAACAACAATACTACACAAAAGCTAAAGAGCTAAATGCTAGCCAAATGTTAAACAAAAAAGTACTACCTAAAAGCTAAAGAGCTTAAAGCTAGCCAAATATTAAAACAACAAAATAATAACTAAAAGCTAAAAGAGCTAAATGCTAGCCAAATGGTCAAACAACAAAATACTACCTAAAAGCTAAAAAGAGCTAAATGCTAGCCAAATATTAAAACAACAAAACACTACCTAAAAGCTAAAAAGAGCTAAATATTAGCCAACTGTTAAAACTAAAAAGTACATAAAAGCTAAAGAGCTAAAATGTTCAAACAAAAAAGTACCTAAAAGATAAAAATAGCTAAATGCTAGCCAAATGTTAAAACAACAAAGTACTACCTAAAAGCGAAAAAGAGCTAAATGCTAGCCAAATGTCATAAACAACAAAACATTACCTAAAAGTTAACAGCAAAATTCTAACATAATGTTAAAACAATAAAATACCACCTAAAAGCTAAAAATAGCTAATTACTAGCCAAAAAAAACCCTACCTAAATACTACTAAAAAGCTAAAGAGCAAAATTCTAACCAAATGTTCAATACAACAAAACAAAATACTACCTAAAAGCTAAGAGCTAAATGCCAGCTAGTCAAATGTCATAAACAACAAAATACTACCTAAAAGCTAAGAG